TAAATTTCGTAAGTGATTTTTTCTTTATCTAGATATTCCTGGAGTGTTTGGGTATCATTGATTTTAAAAACGTCTAGAGCAAATTTTCTCCTTGAGCTTTTTTTAAAATGGTACTGTAATTTTTTGTTCCATAATGGATTTAATGTAAATTAGTTTCATATATATTAATATATTAATATATTTTTATGTTAATCATATTCTGGCGCGATATTAATTTAAAACTGTAATTTACATACAAGTTACAGCAATGTCATTAGCCAAATTAATTAACTTTCAGCCACACCAGCCTCTCATTTATGTCACATAACAGAAAATGTTCACTTTTTTGATGCCCCACATAACATACTTAAGCACTTATACTTAATCTTATTAAATTTTGTCATCTAACTGCTAATGTACAGCAAATAATCTGCATGTGCAGTACTCACGTGAATTATAATTCCAACGATTGAGATTCTCTCAAATCTATGGTGTTTTATTATTTTACTTGTTCTGTCATATTACTATTCTAAGTTTGCTAAATATTTTAGCCAAACTTGTATTCAAACCACCACAATTTAGGAGTCCTAAAATAGACCCAGCTTAGTCCCAGTTCAGTTAACAGATAGATAAAAAAGACCTTTAAAATGTTGTTTGATAATTCAACAGTTTCACTCTCTTTCATTATTATTGAGATGATTTGAGTTGTTCAGTTGTTGTATAGTAATCAGTAAATTCTAACGTTGCACTTATATTCCTCACTACCCTCAAATGATGGTTAACAAGAATTTTTTTAAGCAAATGATATTGTTTTTTTAACTGAAGAAGTCTCACTCATATCTCAGATGTGATAAATCTTTCTCCGACGGCCTAAGTTCTGAACTGTGTCCCGCTATTTACTAATACAAGTTGTTTTCCATTATCGATTCAACGATTACTTTTGGTTCATCATATTTGTAAGGACCCAGTCCAATGGTCGAATCAGGAGTTTGCACGGAATAAACGTACCGACTGGATATGCCGCAGTCAATTAAAAAGGCAAAGCCACCCTTTGATTGTGAATACACTATGGAGAAATTGACTAGTCAAAACCCCAAGTTTGAGGATATGTCCTCCTAGAACCAGAATTTAAATTTTTGTTGATTTGGGTAGGGAACGTAAGCCTTCTTAACCAAAAGTGGCTGAAAGCCGATAGACGACATTGGTGCAACATCACCTGTTTCTAGTGGCGCAACATTGCGTCTCTTTTCGGGTAAATGTATCGTCATTTGACTGCGTTGCGCAGCAATGAACTATGTGTGCATTTACGAATTAGTATCTTAATATTCCTAATTTGAGCAGAAATGAACCTTCACTTGAAGTCTTTTTGATTAGAGAACGATGTAATCAGCAGCATTAATTATAAGACGTTTCAATACTTGTCGACATGAACATAAACGGACGGCGAATTTATTACAAATAAGTTCGGTAGTTTGTCGTGTGCAATCGGGCAGATCGAAATTCAACTGTAGCATTAATATAGCAGATGTCTCTATTACTTGCAATAATAATTGTGAAACTTCTACCGCCAATTACAATCTGAATTTTCATTTCAAGGAATTTAAACCTTACTGATCATTGTATTAAATAATTGCAAGCAAACTTTTTCTCTTCCAGTCAATGAAAAAAAAAGAAAAGAAATACACGTTTTCCAAGTCTTTAAGAGAAACCATCCGTTGTATCAAAGCAATTCCGGAAGCAAGGGATAGCTCTAATAAATTCTTAAGAAGTCCTTCATTCTTCGATGCAATAGTGCACGAGCCACATTTTTCTCCAAATCACGTCAAACGACAGTCACGCAATTCGACAACGATTATTCTAGTTTACTCTGAAACCCTTTCATTTCCTGAACTCGTTTATGAGTCCAAATAAGTACTGAATATATTCACGTTGATCTTCCGCAGCCAATAATATCTTACCATAACAAAGACAGCGCCAAGATTTGGAACTCCGTCACTCCGATTGATGTGCAGCGTTGTATAAAACGTACATTAAACGCCTATTATGTTACAAATGATAAAACTGCATATAATAGAATGGTAAGACTTCATGTTCCCACCTCACTCTCGCGAAAAAATTAACACAAGGAAACATGGCAGAAACAGTGACAACTATCATCACAACATATACAAACGCCAAAGCGGAGACTTCTGCCACACAAACAGTGTCAACGTCACTCCTTACGGCCGAAGTGATACCCTCTTCAGACAACACAACTGAGTTAATCTTGAATACAATTAAAACACCCGTCGTGCAATCGGACCCAGAAAATCCAATGTCGGCCGAGACACATCCTTTGACAGCTGTTCTCTCTACGACGAGCAGCAGTCAGCTCACTGCGGAGCAGACTATCAGCCAGCGTGAACCGAATCCCAATGAATTGACGGGAATGCTGGACCCTCGCATGGCCGAGAAGGCAAAAAAGATAGCAGCAATCTGGAGAGAACACCGGTAAGTGTTCTGGTTACAACGATCATTAAAGTTATCGGCGTGCTTTGTAATGACAGAGTATCCTTAACTCACATATGTCCTTTCATTCTTACTTTATATTATAGTCGGATACGCGAATCCAATGGAATGGTTGTATCTGCTGAATCGCGAGATAAATTACAGAAAAGAGTATGTCTTCATCATCTGCATGATGAAGCTTGCCCTGCCTGGGCTATGTGGAAAGACGTGCTAAACTCCTTGAAAGATCAACAAGCGAAAGCAAAGGCAGATGGGAACAAAAATATTGGGGGACAGCGTGAGTTACTGACAAAACTGGGTGCGCACATAGAAAAGGTAGACAGAGATTTATACATGGTTAATTGGATAGCAGTTTGTCATTTACCTAAATAGGGTTATTTATATATAAATTTGTAACTTACATTAAGGGAACATCAGTACAGAATCACCTCTGGTTGGTATTGGATACTGAGCACTGGTTGGAACTATTCGATAGGAAGCACAGATACGGCTCAAATCTGAAGGTATATTTAGACGAACGATCAAATGATTTGACGATTAATTACAACGTCGTAATGTTATTGCAATAAATTTAATTAGGTATACCACGACGAGTGGCTTAATTCAAATACTAAAGAGAACTTTTTCCAATGGCTGGACGAAGGCTCCGGGAAAACGCTCGATCTTAAAGAAAGACAACGTTATATATTAGAAAGCCAGAATGTAAAATATCTAACAGATGAAGAGCGTGAACACTATGAAGTTATAATACAAGATGGTCTCTTCGTGTACAAACATTCAGGTCAACTTGTCCACACTAATCCGAGCCTTCGTAAGCAATGCGATGCAGCCAGCTTTACGTCCTCGTTAAACGGATCAAGTCGGTCACCCTCGCCAAGTTCACAAATACCACCTGGTGCTGTCGACGATTGTGTGACAGCTCATGAGGAATCTAAACCTATAGATACCACAGATTTCCTTTATCCTTCAAGTCCTATAGGTAGATCTGACAACGAAGAAGACGAGAAATGGATATATGTAACGGATTGTAGAAACCGCCTCTACATTGGAAAAAAAACGAAAGGTCACTTCCATCATTCTTCTTTCCTTGCAGGTGGGGCCATTCGCGCTGCTGGTGGGATCCAAATACGTAACGGCAAACTCGAAGAGCTTACTCCCAAAAGCGGACACTATAAACCCGCCCAGCAACATTTCAGTGCACTTGTAAACCGAATTCGTGAGCAGGGTATCAATCTTGAAGATGTCAAAGTACTATGGCCGAGCAAGAAATTGGAACAGAGGTTGGTAGCTAGATACGAATGCAGAAGAGTTACCTCTTGGAAGAAGATTTTTGAAGTACCGGATCATCCGCCCAGCATAAGAGATGAGTCACAAATATCAAACGACTCGGATTTAAAAAAGGAAGACGAGACTAGAACGAATCTAAAATCGAGTTCTAGAGAGGTTAACGATGGGTGCCAAAGGAATCAAAGAACGCATTTTAAGCTCCTCAGACGTTTTGTTAAGCTACTAACCGGCGGTGCAACACCTACACAAAGTGGCGATCAACCAGCATCCCCGCGAAGGAGCAGATTTAGAAACGTCCGTGTATTCCGTTTCCGAGATAGAAACGACGGCGGTGGTAGAAAAGAACGATCCTCAACAGATCCATCTCCCAAAAAAGATCATTCTTGGAAGCTATTACAAATCGCAGGACGAATGTTTGGATCATCCAGTAGTTTGAGGCAAGACAGAGGCGACAGACCAGATGATGTGACGACGATGCCAACACCACGGGTTGTTATATCATCATGAGATTATAAAATTATAAATAATATTATTAGGACATCTAGATTCGTATTTATTCATTTATTACACATATATTAGTATAATCAGTTAATGGGAAAGAGTAAACGAACCAGATCATTTATTTATGAACGGGATCTGTGAACTACAATAAAAAGAACTAATTATGATTAACTATGCGGTAAAAAACAAGTTTGATGGCTACACATGGAAGCATTCAACAGATTGCCTAGATCAGCTCAACATCTTGCGTTTATACGGGGGTGCTTCTTAAACCAGCACATAGTAATAGGCAGTTCATTCAACAAAGATAGTATGCTTACTATCCACTCTATCTTCTGTCGATACAATGCACTCGAACACAAATTAGGATCATCCACACTATTTATTTGATAGGCAATTGTATAACCCTTTTCCAGGCGTAGAGTTTGAGTTGAAATCTGGAGTATAAAATATGTGTATACTCCAGACTGGCTCTTCAGACGTATTATCACTCAGCTCACATTCCACTGTTATTTGATGCCACCTATTATAATCGTAGCTACCCCAATTCAGTCTCCGCGTAGGGCATGAAGCTAACAGCCTTATTACACTACTACGTTCCGCTGTATGATGCAACTCAGACAAAGTCTCTAGGCGCAAGCCTTTCTATGATCTGGCAAGTGCAGGATTTATCATACTGACTTTCCAATAAACAGAGGTATTGTTGGAAAGTGGTATCGAATGGTACCAGAAGTGCTAAAATGCATCATGGATGATTTTATGTGCTGTCCTTCGGTTTCCACAGATTTTATGGACTGACGTTGACATGTATTGATTAGATAAAGGGAATAAATGTTATATGGAAATTCGAGTCTTGCTCTGAGCGGTCAAATACGTCCCTCATTTGTATCCCCACGACGACAGATGTCCCCTATCTCCCATATCTTACAGATCATGCTTCGTACATTTAGTTTGTGCTATAGACAACAACATGGCATCGATTAAATTTCAGATTTAATTGCATAGAACACTAAAGTAGGCGATAGGACGTAGCTAGTTTGGTTTCAAATCTAAATCGCCTAAAGCTTGCAGATTACTCAGTAGATATGATAACAGAATAAGTCGAGTTGGACGATGCACAAATGTCCATGGAAAAAGAAATTTTGGAAGGTGTCTCGCAAGCGCATATGGAAGACTCGGGCGAAGGGGGGAAGTGATATTTCTATACAAGTGGGAAAACAAACACCTGAAATATTTAACATATGGTGACTATTACGGAACATTTACTTAAAGGATTTATAAATTATCGTCCTCAAAGAGCAAGTGTTAGTAGCGACAATGTTATAAAGCGATCGATGTCTTATTATTATTAAATTTATTGTTGCCTTATACTAAAGTTCTTTTCTTTGATTGAGTAGAAAATTGGCCTGTATAAGGTTAGAAATCAGTTAATATATGCGTACTAAAGAATAAAACACATATCTGTCCGTTTATATATATTTAATAATACTCATGAGTCTACTTACCCCATCTCAGCCAGCCAATATGGATCCACGGCAGTAACGCACTGCATATACTCCTTGGATGTCATGACCAATTCGTGATACACAATATAATCGGGCGTGTATCCTAACCCGTACAAAGCGCTTGTCGGATGTAAATGACAGGGCATGCCAGTACGACAATTAACATATTCTCCAATGCCTTTGATTCTTGCTGCTTGGTGGAAATATGCTGAACATATACACTTCCTAACTACGTCCCAATTAGTACCGCATGAAGTGTACGGCATTTTTTCGGCCTTCATTATATCCAATAGTTGCGATCGGACTTCTTGTGCTTTACGCATTGCTTTAGCATGGATGAAATGTTTTGTGCACCAATCATCACGATAACTGATGCACAAGTGATTTAAGGCAAAGGGGATAACATGTTGAACAATTAATTGGATTGAAGGGAAAGGAGCTAATTCAGATAGTGATTTATGCTATTGACCGTGTTTACTATTAATTTTTCCTTCTATAGATGACATAAGGAACTCTCTACATACCTATGGGATTTCCATTGCGTATAAACGTGAAGTAACGTGAGATGGTCGCTCTCTGGTACAAAGAACTTTTCTCTCGCAGCGTCACTTTGTTCTATGCGTTCTTTGGGACGATAAAATACCGATGGAACAGACAACATGGACACAATTGTCTGATGAAGAGATTGGTAATATTAACTGACGAGCGCGCTTATATGTATAGTATATATCAACAAGCTGCTTACCAGTATTTCAGCTGTACAACCCAATTCGTCGGCCACTATTAACATCTTAGAAAGAGAAGGGTCCAATGGAAACTCAACCATCTTTCTACCCAATGGCGTAAGTTCTCCTGTATTATCTAATGCACCAAGAACCCAAAGTTGATACATCGAATTCAGGATGTTCTCCTAAGGTAATAGTTTAACAAAATACATTACTATGGACTAGCCCGCATAAAAAGCTAAGCGAGAGTATAATCCCTTCTTTCCCCCTCCTCCATACCTGTGGTGGCGGATCCATGAAATCAAAATCCAGTAAATTCTTTACACCCAAAGATTTCAATAACAGAACAACATTTGCCAAATTCGTTCTTTGTATTTCTGGAATAGTATTCACAAACATTTCGTGAAGATATGCTTGCTCAGTATACAGCCGATAACAAGTACCCGCCCCAGTACGTCCTGCACGTCCTGATCTCTGATTAGCATTAGCCTGGCTTATAGGTGTAATCTGTAATGAGTCCATTCCAATCTTAGGGTTGAATACTTTTAGTTTATTGTATCCAGTGTCCACCACATACATTATGCCGTCTACAGTGAGCGATGTTTCGGCAATATTGGTCGCGACGATGACCTTGCGAGCGTTGTTTGGAGCTTTTTCAAAGATTTTTGCCTGTAGATCAGCAGGCATTTGAGAGTATATCGGTAGAATGGCAAGCGGAGGTGGGTCCTCTAGTTGTGCTAGCCGTTCAGCAGTAACTTGACAAGTTATCTCGATGTCCTCCTGCCCCGTCATAAATACAAGAATATCACCAGACGGATGGCCTAGATGAATAGCTAGTATCTGTTTTACCGCGGCATCTACATAATCTTCACAAGGTGTTTTACTAAACATAATATCTACGGGGAATGTCCTACCCGGAATAGTGAAATTGGGACAATTGCCAAAGAACTGAGAAAATTTCTCTGCGTTCATTGTAGCGGATGTTATTATCAGCTTCATATCTCTCCGTCTAGAAATAACCTTCCTAAGTAATCCCATCAATACATCAGTCTGCAATGATCTCTCGTGAGCCTCATCCATAATTATAGCACTATAATGATCGAGATCGGGCTCCTTCAGTGACTCACGAAGCATTACTCCATCAGTCATGTACTTGATCACAGTCTGTTCTGACGTACAATCTTCGAATCGAATAGCATATCCAACAGTAGTGCCTAGCTTGCACTCCATCTCTTCACTAACACGCTTAGCTACCGACATAGCAGCCACACGACGCGGTTGAGTACACCCTATTGTACCGTACTTGCTATATCCATCTTCGTGGAGATACTGCGTCAATTGTGTTGTTTTGCCGGAGCCTGTTTCACCGACTACTACTACCACTTGGTTATCTCTTATCACACGAAGCAGTTCTTCACGGACAGCAAAAGCTGGGAGAAATTCCCGCTGTTCACGAAGAGTTTTTGATCTGGCAAATGAGCTTACCGCTTCTGACTGTTTAAGATGGGAAGCAAACTGGGAGTCGCCTTTGGGGTTCTCAGGCTCCCCATTTTGGGCTGATTGATCAGGTGGAGGGTTAGAATCTTCAGATGATTTTATCCCCATTATGTTTCCTAGAGCTGTGCCGGCAAGTTCTACATTTTTTCTTGCAGCCTAGGGGATAATTTGAAGCGGAGGCTTAGATACATATTTTATAACAAAATTATGCATAATAAATATTTGAACTTATTATTATATAAATGCCTTTTGCCTCTCGATTTGTTCTCTCTTCTCTTTGACGAGCTGACTCCCTTTTCTTGAGAACACAGCCATGTTAGATGTAGGATCTTTAACTGGCTGCACAGCCTCCAATTGTTTGGTAAATACCATGCGACCATCAAGAAACGGTGGTTTTAAGTCGTGGACTAACAAATGAATTCTTGACTGCAAAACATAAAGATAGTTTATGAATGAGAAATGTGCGTAAACGAATGACAATAAGATGGCGGACAATGATGAAGACAGTAAAATACCTCCAAATCATCTTCAAAATCCAAATCGACAGCCTTACGTTGAGCTATTCCAGATGTAAGCATACGATTCGTCTCCCATAATTCATTGTCTCTATTATATTGTTCTTGTCTTGCCGACAACTTTTTTATTTGTTTCGCCGCTAACTCTTCCTCCTTCTTCTGAGTGATATCTCCATAACCTGCAAAGGGATTATGCATATCGTCTATTGCCTATTAATTCGAACAACAAGTAAGAAAAGTGATAGAACAAAACGGCAAATACAATGATTATGAAAACTGTCCATATACAGAGTTTTTTTTACATACACCAGCTGATTCCTCAAGATTATACCAATCCCGATCCAATTGCCTCTGTTCTTCTTCCCATCTTTTTAGATCCCATTCACTGGGCTCATCATCGTCCCATTCACTACGTTTTGGTGGCTCAATATCCATCTCATCGTAACCCGTAGATGAAACTCTTGGAGTAGGATAATCCCATCTGACACTGCTCAGTGGATGAGAGTCTATAACAAACGGAACCAGATAATAGTATAGTTATGGATCGTAACGGGTGTAAATGGAGGTCTGACATCATAGCAAACTTGTAGAATTACCTTTTCTTGGAGTCAGCCCTCCGGCAAGTGACCTTGGCGTGGATCTATAAACAGATCGTACGGGGGTAGTATCCCAATCACTTCTACTTACACGGGAAGAGCGTGGAGCAGACGAATCACGTAGTGACGAAGAATGGCGTATTGCAGTATACGTACGATCACGACGTGACTGTGGGTTACGATCGTGCTGTCTATTGCTTGCTTGACTGCTAGGACCTATATACAAGTTAGATAGGCTTCATTACTACTGCTATGCATATAAGAACTAATCCTTACTTCTGTATCTATCTTTGTCTTTTCTTCTTGCTTCCATGCTGGGATGCGAAAGTATTTTAAGTAATATTGGTCAAGTTTTTAGAGTCGCTTAAACATATATAATACGCCTTGTGTTACCGGGTTTATAAATGTATTATTATATTATTATTATTATTATTAATACTGTTAAATTTACTGGCAAAGAGCTTTCAATAGCTCTTATGAGTACGCGTTTGCCTTTCAAGACGTCGGCTGATACTTGTTACTTTTGACCATTACTCATAATAAAATTATAAGGCTATACAAATTTATATTATATATGCATATTATTTGTAATGGCTAATGGATATTGCATAAGTCAAAGTACCATTTCAAAAATTCCGTCAAAGAAAGAAAAAGTGACACCCAGTAGACTCTTCTGGAGTACATAAAAAAAGAACCCGTCATGCTATTTGAAGGAGCTGGAGAACTTTACTTTGATCCAAGGATTGAGAGTTTTACTATTCATAATATCTGTTTATTATGTTAATTTGCAATTTCGCCTCTTGTCTTATAGACGTTAAAAATCATGATAAAGTCAATATGAAAAAATATGCCTGATACCATAAATGCACGCCCTTGGGAATAATTATGAGACCCGATAAACGTATTATTTACATAAGATGCTCAAATCATTGTTTGCTTACTGACTTTAAACTAACGTAACGTTTGCAAAATACTAAATAATGTAATTTACACACCTACAATGATCAGGAATCCTTTATCTGTCCATTACTGAAATAAAGACAAAGATTCAGGATAAAGCTACTCCATTGATATTCTCTTTCAGGCATGTTTGTTAATTGAATAAAGTTCCTCGCGATAGTTAATTGACGTACCTTCTTTGTACATTCTCGTAGATATTCTTCATGGCGCATTTGTAATGAACACATTCCTTGTTATTTACAAATTTTCGGAAGGTTGGTGAAAGAACAAATTACACAATACTTTTTTTGGTGCATTAAAAGTTTTACACAAACTTCAGTTGCTGTTATACCATATTCTTTTGATTCTCAGTGTACATTCATAACTTAAAATGCAAGTTTTATGTCGTACTTAAAACGCACAAAACTGTTTTGATTTAGACGCGTATTTTAGAAGGAGATAAAGTTTATGCAAAAACTTCTGTATCTTTGGAGCCTTTATGGTCGGCGGAATTATTCCTCACTCGGACGTATTTGCTTTGGGTATGCCGAGAGAGTTGTATACTTGTAGTCAAAGCTTCAGAACCGTTTTTGTAGACAATAGCTTCATTCAATGCAAGCACAGGAGATTGCATGTTTTATGCGCGTTTTCCGCCTTCAAATACCGCAAATTCTTTAACCATTAAAATATTTTACTCATTTAAAATCAAAATCGTAAACACATAATAAACTCTCTCCTCAATGCTAACACCACCACCACCACCACCGCCAAAACCACCATAAAAAAAGGTTCAAGCAAAAGGAGGTCCTCAGCTCCCCAACCTACGAACTTAAGACCTTAATTGGAACGGAAAAGTCGCGGCATGGTCTCAGAAATTGTGGTTACCCATTGTGACCGACTCTGCCGCAACCTCTTCCACTCCCCCATACTACAAAAATATGGTTTTCGTCAACGAAGCGACCTTCGACGAGCACGAACTTTCCTTGCAATCAAGCAAGGAAGAAGAGTCGCCCGACGAGAACCCCAAACAAGGAGAAAAGCGCAAGATCAGGACACCAGCAGCACGCAACAAACAACAACACTTGGAAGCTCCGTACGCTACCAATCAAAGTATATCCAAATCACCTTCAACCTATTGAAGATAAGCTTAAGCTTTATACGGATGTTCGTGTAGGAAAAGGCGTTAATGAGCATGAGGACAAGAGACTTCAAAGATTATGCTTATGGGGTGAACGCAAATTGTGCGAGTTGTCGTGTGTATTGGAATGCTGCTTCAAGGTACACATGGCAAAGCGCCTGCAAACATTATCGATGAGGCGATTAATGAAGCATTAACTGCTAAGTATAATTGTTATTCGTTTTGATTTATTTATTTATTTATTTATTCATTTGTTCATTTATTTTTGATTTTATTTAAATACAATCAAATATAGGAATCAGCGAAGTCATTTCGATCCCGAAAACATCTCCATAATAATAATCCATCAATGCTTTCCGCATTCCGTCATAAGCCCGTTATTATTATCACTCTTGACGACAAACGCAATTTGTGGCCGCTCCATTTCGAAAAAAAAAAAGACACAATAATAAGTGGCCTGTTCCTCACAGAATAACAAGATAACATATATTCGCAAAACTAATGAATGGAAATTTTCATGGGTTTGCGAGACGCAAAAACAACTCCGCGAAACCCGAGCGGATAGTTCTATTCATGCAGTTTCCATCGACCCTGGCGTTCGTACACCCTTCACATGGTAGGTAAAATTGGTCAATACGACATTGGACGAATTATTCGTCTATGCAAGAATCTTCTTTCTATAAAGGACAAGCTGGCTGCCTTAGTTCAAAACGTAAGAAGAAACAGGCCTTGCGACTTGATAAGGCAATCTTTCGGATGCGACGAAAAATCAAACACCTGCAAAGCGAAGTTCGTAAAAAGAGTGTCGCATTTTTACTCGCGAATTTGATCCCTCCTTTTGAGGTGTCGAACATGGTAAATCGAAAAACAAGAAAGATAACACGAAAAACCGTTCGCAAAATGCTCTGTTGGTATCAATTTCGCCAACTAAAGCAGAAGAATTAGGGGTCCGTGTTATTATCCAGAATTAGGCCTATACTTCAAAAACTCGGGGAATCTTCCTCCGGGCATTGCAACTCCACTGAAAGAAAACGAAAAAATGAAAAAATTAATAACAGCGAAGAAAATAGTGAACATTGAGTAATGTCTCCCGCGCAATCAATCTGAAGCTTTTATTAGTATTATATTTGCAAGAACACGTATTCTAAATAAAATTATGCTTACAAAAAATCGAAGCGCCAAAGCTATATGTAACGAAATTCAGCCCGGATGGATTGAATCGATCAAAAATAAAAACAAAAAAAGAACGAGAACGAAAAGAATATATTTATATATAAATAAAAAACACTAAAGAAAAAACGTATAAAAAAAAAACGGCGGGTCTAAGTCTATTTCAAAACTTATCTCTCGTATTGTAACCCCTCATTTCCCCTTCTTTTGGTCCTTGATAAAAGTTTTAAAAAATTTTGTGGTTTTCTTAGTAATTTGTGACTAATCAAATATTTTTTGGTAAGATATAATAATAATGGTTGACCATGGCGGTTTCCCATAAACCGTTGTCTTTTCGATGGCATCTTTAATGCGAGCAGTTAGGTTCCACAAAATAGGTGATATTAATATCAATAATCTGACTGTAGACAACCAAATGAATTATTGATTAAGATTAACGCATCGGCGGTGAATCCGGTAACAAAGATTGACATTGTTGCCACGAGCGTATAATTTCTAGTATGCAGTGACCAATGTAACTGTCCTCATAATTTCAGAGCGATTACAAGAATGTCGAAGGCCTCTTTCCATTTACCACTACCCCTCGTGTACCAGGACGCGATTTCTGTGGTACGGTTGTAGATGGACCGCCAGAGTGGATGGGAAAAGTAGTAATTGGAACTGGAGGGAAGAATGGATTTATCGAAGATGGGTCACATGCAGAGTATGTTAATGTGTTTAGATATTGATCGATCTGATCGTGAGTTGATAAATACATGCCACTTTGCAGATACATTACTGCGCAGCCAGATGCGGTTAGTCTGAAACCTAAAAACTTGTCCGTAACCGAGGCTGCG